CCCCCCCCCCCCATCACCCCTTCCCTGCTCTGGACTCTGAGCCAGCAGACAAGCACACACAGGAAGACGCCACGGGGACAGTGGGCTGGGTGGGAGAGAGGCGCTGCGCCTACGGGGAGGTGGGGTGCTGGATCTGGGGTGGAGTCAGGGGAGAGGTGGAGGTGCCAGCGGTGTGGGCAGCCGCCCAGCCCCTGCCAGAAGCGCGGGGAGCAGGGGGGTTCCTCCCTGGGCGGCCACGGAGGGGAGGGCAGGACACCCTGTTCAGAGGTGCTGGAGAAAGCAGGGCTCCTAGGCAACTGTGGGCTCCACGGCCAGCCCTGCCTCCGTTCCCGGGGGAAGCGCTGTCCTTTGGGAAACGTGGGCCCTGGTGAGCAGCAGACCCCCTGGACGAGGGCCCACGGCTGTGCCGCAGCCCTGGGGGCGGCCTCTGTCCGGGCTCCTGACCTCCTGCCTTTAGGAAGCAGAGTGGAGAGAAGAGAGCCCGGAGCCCCTCCCAGGCGCTTTCTCCCCTTCTGCTGATGGGGCGCCCAGTCTCTCCAGATACGAGCCGCCTACAGAACGTGGTGCCCGTCTCAAGCTGACACTGTTGCGTGCGCACCAAGTTCCCCCGAGAGGAGTTCTGCTTGTGGCTCCCCAAAGCATACGGAAAGCAGGCGTTTCTGATAACTGTCTCAGGCTTGGAGTACAACGAGGATAATATTCCTTAGTGAACGCTGGCCACTTTATCATTGACAAGACACTAGCCCTGAAAAATTGTAGAACCGCCTTCCAATTTCATACCAGCGTACGAACAGCAAGCTGAATTCCAGTTATAACGAGAGGCTGGCTTCCTTCAAAAACGTGCGAGGCCCACGCCCCCCAGCACGGGAACAAGGCCCCAGCTCAGGCCCCGTCACCTGCAGGAGTGTGCTCAGCACAAAAGACAGCGGCTTTCTCCTGCTGTGACCTCCCTGTTTTCATTAAGTGTTGGTTCCCGTGCACTTTGCAGAGTGGTGTTTAGCGCTGAGGCTGTGGCCCGAGACAGAAGACCGCTGCCCTCCGAATGAGAAATAAGAAAAGCAACACAGAACCAGCCACCTGCGTGTGGAGCCGGCAGAGAGGGCTGAGCTGCTGCCTGTGCGGGGTCTCCAGAGAAACCTAGGAACTAATCCTGTGTGTCACCTCCCGCCCCAGTCCAGATGCCCCCGGAGAGGGCAGACGAGCAGCAGAGGCGCCTGGCCTGGGCTGCCGGGCCAGAGGAGGAGCTTGGCTGGGCAGCCGGCACCAGGCCGAGCAAGGAGGGGGTGGGCAAGCCGGGGCCCTGCACCTCGGGTGTTGAGCTCCAGCATCGATGAAGGACACGATTAGATATTAGATTCCACTCCTCAGATGCCCTGGGCCCAGCTTATCAGGAACAGGACAGCTCCCTTGCGGCACTCGGGCTTCTAACACGGGGTTTCCGACTTGCTGGCCAGCCACGCTAGTGTTTTCCTGACCTGGCAGTTTTCCTTTTCACTCAAAGTCAATGAATCATCGCTCAGATTTATTCATCAGTCTTATGAGTTTGTTCATTGCATGTCAGTGCCAGGGAATCTCAGCCGCTCTGGATACCCGGGCCAGGCTGCTTTTCTGCATCTGTAAGGCTGGTCGCTGGTGTCTTCTTGGCCCCCAAGTGTCCTGGCTCCTGATCAGATGCCACTGAGCTTTCTGATCAGTTAACAAACCAGCCTCCCTCCCCCACGTTTATGCTGATCCCTCCAGCACTTGCATCCGTGTTCACCTACAGCCTGTGAACCTGAAGGAAAACCATCCCTAAGGAGTTCAGGGCCTGTGCTTAGCCGGAAAGCAGGCGCATAAGTGCCCACAGTGGGCAAAAGGCCAGTGTCCCTGGGGGTGACCGCTATAACACAGACGTCGCACCACACCTCCCTCCCGCATTGCCAGGGAGACGGGGCCTGGGCGGCGCGTGTGGAGGAGGGCGCCGCCCCCGGGGCCCATCCCTGCTCGGCGGGGTCACCTGTCTGAACAGCAGCTCCTGCTCGGTGGGCTGCCGCTGGCCCGGCGCCACGTCGTCCTCATCGCTCTCAACGGGCTCCTGCTTCACCTGCACCCCGGCCAGCGCGTGCGCCTCCTTCGGCCCCGAGGGCCGGTCCAGGAAGGGCTCCTCCAGGAGGGCCTGGTGCTCGCGCAGCTCCTCCTCGGTCTCCTCGGGATGGCTCTCGGGCTGCCGGGCCGGCTCGCTCGCTTTGGGGATGATCTGCAACACAGAGGGTAGGGGCGGAGCTCGGTGTGACGTGGGGTGAGCGAGATCGCGGGACAGGAGAAGGCTGGTCACAAAGCCCACACCTCAGAAACACAGGGGCCAGTCTCTGAGGGCACTGTTACACACACACACACGCACGCGCGCACACACACACACACAATGCCCACACCTCAGAAACACGGGCCAACCTGAGGATGCTGTTACACACACACGCACGCACCCACACGCGCAGACGTGCACACGCTCACGCACGCACGCACGCGCGCGGCACACACACACACACACACACACACACACACACACACACACGGGTGCCAGGTGCTGTCCGAGGTGCTGAGAAAGGACACAGCCCGACATCTGGTACTTGCTCTTAATTAAGCACCTGTGTGCCTGGCACAGCGAAGCACAATGCAAGTCACAGGTGTGGACCCACGTCCCACCTGGGTGTGAAGAGGAGGCTCCTTCCTTCGCGGTCACAGCTGCCGGGAGAAACCCCGCCCGTGCCCCTCCCCTGCCACCTCAAGAACATGCGTGTCCCAGACGCCATGATGACCCTGCCTGCCAGCCCCCAATGGGGCACACGTGGCTCCCCTGCTCTCCCCTGGCCTCTTTGCCCACTCACACCTCGCTGTCCGGTCTGCCCTGGGCCTGCTGCCCAGACACCACGCTCTTCAGCAGTGCGGTCCTTCCCCTGCTGAAGGATCCACACGCCGGTGACTCCCAGACGCAGGTGCCCAGCCCAGGCCTCACTCCTCATCTCCAGACCTACCGCCCGACCGCCTGGTACGCATCCTGGCTCAACACGGACACCCGGGGCACCAGCTCTCGCTGGCCCTCCCCTTTCCGTGCCTGCCCAGCACTGCCCATCTCACGTCTCTGGAGAGCACGCTTCTCTCCATCCTCACACTCTGCTCCCGTCCTGCACCGGGCAGCCTGCATCTCCTGCTAGATCACAGCCACGGCCTTCTGAGGCCCCTCTCCCGTCCACCTCCGTGTGGCAGTGACAGTGGGCTCTCAACGTGCCACCACCCCGCCTAAGCCCCTGCAACTCTCCCTCTCGTCCTTACTTTGCTCCTCTGCCGTCGGCCCCGCTCACCCTCCCCTCCAACCACGCCATGGCCGTCCCGACATCACTGCAGTTTCCTCCCGACGGGCTCCCCACGGATTCCCTCCCTCCCGGACGCCCCTGGGCTGACGCCTCGACACCCCTTAGGCCTCCAGTCTTCTCCGGGAGGCGTCCTTTGGCCTTCCGGGTGGGGGCTGGGTGATGCTCACCTGTGTCTGCACCCCCAGGCTCTTCCAGCCACAGGAGTCACTGCAGCTCTACAGCTGCCGTTTACACGGCCGCCTGACCTGCAGCCTGCAGTTCAGGTGAGGGTAGGGGTCACTGCTGACTTATCCACGGGGCACGTGGTAATTATCCATTAAACGTTCACCTGAACGACTGGGTAAGTGAATGAGCCATCCAGGGAGTGGGAGGGTCAAGGTGGAAAGTGAGCAAGGCCAGCACACAGGGGGCCGCGAGACAGCAAGGGCCGGCCCGACAGGGACGAGGCGGGGACCTGGCCTGGCGTGCGGGGGACCAGCAGACACACATCCCAGAAGTAGGCGCTGTGGTCGGCCGGCCCGCCAGGGCCTGGGAGGACGAGGGCCTGCCCTAGCCGCTGCGATGTGGGGGAAGGACAGGGCCATGCAGCAGCAAGGGGGCAGCATGTCCAGGCCCAGGACACCGCAGAGGGAGGGTCATCCAGGATGGCGCCCTGGGTCTCGGGTGATGAGGCTGCCGCCCCGGGCACGGGGGCCAGAAGACAGACGGGTACTGGGGGCACAGAGGTCTCGGCCGTCCCCGGTCTGAGGGGAAGTGGTGAGCTGGGGGGAAGCTGAGAAAGAGGAACAGACGCGGGGACCCCTCCTCTGACGCGGGGACTCGGGCACAAGGAATGTCTCAGAGCAAATTAATAACTGAACTGCTTGACTTTCTGTAAGCTGTGAAAGAACATGTCCCAAAATTCAAAGTCCCAAGTCTGAAGGTCGCTCTCCATGCACGATCTGTCCATTCGCTGTGGGCAAGGAGTCAATGGGGGCAGATGTGACTGGTGTCGGGGCTTTAAGGAGACGCAAAGCTCTCGAAAGCCGCTGTTTAGGTTCCTGCCGTGCGAGAGATCTGCCCTGTATGGGAGAACGAATCTTGCCACCACTCCTGACTCTGTTTCTAGAAGGAAACCGAGGTCTTCAAGGAAGCCTAATGTTTTCTCGTCCTGGGCGTGTGTATTTTAAAAAGTCCTTACAGAGCCGCCTGTGCCCTCACCCACACCTGGATGCAGTGAAGCCTGGCCCACGAGGGATGGATTCGGGACATTTGTGCCAGTGCTGGTATTCCATTAGCTTGTAACCAGCCAGGGGTCAGCTGTACCCGGCGGGTACCAGGGCCCAGCCCTAGAGGAAGACTGAGCTACAGATGCCCTCCTCAGCACCTGCCTTACTTTGCTGAGAAAACAGTTTTGATTGGGCTAGGGATTTATTTTATGTGATCATCCCTTAAGTTGTTTGTAATGAACACTGTAAAGGAAAGCAACCTATGAAAGCCAAGCCATGGGGACCCCAGGCCCTTTCTTTACATCTGCCCATGGCAGCTTCTCATCAGGAGGTTCCAGTCCAGCCGGAACAAGGTGGCCAGAGCTCCGGGAGCAGGTCAGCACCGCTTCAGGAGGCGATGGGTTGTGAGTGGAGAGAAAGCCGGGGCGGGAGGGTGCTGGCTGGCAGACAGGCTCAAAACTCTATTTCGAGTAAACAATCCGCCAACCTCACATCCAGGTGCTTCGACAGATTTCTCACCGTGGTTCATCAAAAAAAAAAAGTGTTTTGAAAGTCTGTTTCTGATGATTTTGAGACCTGTCAATCCCATCTGCTTCCCACACACCTGGAGTCCGCGAGTCCCCATGATGAACTTCGTGCCTGGACAGAGTCCACTTGGGGCCAGACTGTGCCTGCCCCTCCACTGGGGCTGGGTTGAGGCATGGAGGACCCATCTCTGCCGGAAGAGGGCGCTGGGCCTCTCCCGGGCCCTGGCATGTCCGGCATGTCCGCAGGCGCCTCGAAACCTCAGCAAATGGCATTACAAGCCTCGGCTTTAGGACCCACGGGGTCAAAGCTCTCTCGTTGCGGCTGTCCCCCAGGGCCTGGCGTAGAGTCTGATAGGTAACAGGGTGGGGTTTGGGGGAGGTTTATTGAGCGTGGGTCCTGAGAAGGTGGCTGGGGAACAGACCCGATGAGAGGACGCCACGGCAGAGGGATGGGGAGGGAAACAGGAAGGGGGGACAGCAGCCAGGATGGATATGGGAGTGGCCAAGGCCCCTTGCGACGTGCTGGAGGGCAAGGGTGTGAAAGAATTGGCAACAATGGACAGCGGGGTGGAGGTCAGGGAGAGGGACATGGGGGACAGGGACGGGGGGAGTGGACAGCAGGGGCCGGGCATGGGGATGGGGGCTCCCAACACCAAGGACTTCACCCTCCAGATGAAGGTCCCGGAGGTGCTTTCTCAGAGCAGGTGGCAACCTCCTCTCTGCTCCGTGGAAAGATCCCAAAGGGTCAGGGGACTGCCTGCGGGGAAATGACCCTTGGGGTCTCAGCCAGGAGGGGGCCGAAGGTCAGCAGAGAGGTGGGTCCTGGCGCAGTGAGGGGAGGGCGGGGCAGATAGAAAACGGAAGCGGGGAGCACAGATGCTCCAGGCCAGGCTCGCGGAGGGAGCCCGGGGGGCTGAGGGCCGGGGAGTGGGTACTTCGGGGGAGGTGGGGACGCCACGTGGACAGAGGGGGCAGGAGAGAGGCTCCGCAGGGGAGGCCGAGGGGGAGGGCGGGGACCCTGCAGGGGACTTGGAGAAGCAAGGTCTTTGTCGGGAGGGAGGCCGCGGCGCCTTGGCCCGAGGGTGGCCTGCAGGGGAGTCACCCAGAAGCTGCGCCTGGTCCTGAGGACGCCAGGCCTGCTCCAGGCCCTATGGCAGGCGGCCCCTGAGTGGGTAAGTATATCTGGGGACGCAGTGGAGGTGGAGGCCCCGGAAGCAGCGACTGAAGGGTAGAGGGTCCTCGTCGTCCGGGAGGAAACCGGGTTGTGACAAAGCTGAGAACATGATCACCGAGGAGACAAGGAGAGCAGCCACGGGAAGGTGCACTCAGTGGACAGAAGCTCAATCCTCGCTTTCTTCCAGCACTTTACTTTCAACTCCAAAACTACAGCGCGGTTTTGAGAACAGTGCAAGACACTCCACATGCCCTTTGCCTGGACATTAGCAGACGGCGGCCATGGAAACAGAGGCAGAGGCCGCCTGTCCTTCTGCTGACCTACCGCGGGCTGTCGGGCTGCCGGACCCAGCCGGCA